TGTTGTGTATTTCTGCCCGTTCCCGATTAAGCAAATGCGTGAAATTCAGTGCAGGAGTGCTGGCAGCTATTGTACCGGTTGAGAAATAGTGAAAAAGTCCCAATATGTATGAAATTAATATAACGTCTTTCCGCCTTGTTCAGGTGAGGACTGCCAAGTGACAGGCTGGGGTCCAGACACAGCCTGTTCCCAAATGCTTTTCTGCTATTATATTGCAGTATATGATATTTACTTTGTCCATTAAAGTAGTTGGTAAGTTGGGCATTCTGGCTTGCTTGGTTAGAATGAAATCAAAACTTCTGTATGCTGTTCGGTATGTAAGGTGGCTTCTGCAAGTACTGGAACATGTCAGCATTTTCTGGCAAGTGGTGTTTTCAAATGAAAGTTATTCTTGCAGTTGCAGTAAAAAGGAGAACTCTCGACACAGAAGAAAAATATACATAAAATAAAAGACTAAATGGTACCAAGTATTCAGATTAAAAAAAAAGGGGGGGGGGGGTGTTGGGAACCCAAGAAAGTTGAGAAGAAAACTCAGGAGTATAAATGATTTAAAGGTGAATAAAGCAGAGGTCTGCCACACCTCTGGTTCTGGGCAGCAAGACCTTCCTTCAGCCAGGAAGGCTGCTTACCTGCACCTCAAGGAGCAGTGGTCCCCATCATGGGCAGCTGCTTATTTGTGTCGATAAATGTGGCACCTGTGCCACTCCCGTGCTGCTGCCCACCAGCCAGCATTTCTGACCCTTAGCACTTCTTAAGAGAGATCCAATAGTTCTAATGGGTTAATGTGTAAAATCTGCCACTGCATCATCTCCTTTCTCAGGTAGAGTGCATCCTGACACACCTGGGTGGCTGGAGGGGTTGTTGATGCCTTTCCTGGATGCTGGTAACTCCCACAAGTCCCAAACAGATATTATTCAGTGTTTTGCACAGAGTAAAAGCCCAAGAAAGCAACTGTACTTACTGGTTGTTTATCCCTGATATGATGCACTGGGAGCTGTAAAGTGACTTCTTGATCCTGGCCTCTCCAAATGCTATTTTGGAAAAGATCCCTAAATTTTAGCGGTTCCCCAGCCCAAGTGCTTTGTTGTGCAGCTCCCTTGCCCTTGGCAGGTATCTATGTACATCACACACCATGCTGCTAACCATGGGCACGCCAGCAAGTGTCAAAAAGCAGAATAAATCCCTGTGGGGCTGAGTTTGCAGTGCTAAAGGGCTCAAGGCACAGCCTGCTCCATGGGGGTCTGCATCCTGGACAGGTTGTCCCAGGACCTCAAAGCGTGTTCACAACACCCAGCCCCTGTAAGACTGTACAGGCTCTGCCTCCCATCCATGCTGTTGTTCAACCTTCTTCTGCCCAAGCCACTCTGGTCCTCTGAGTGAAGGACAGCCCTTCTATGTACCCACTGAGCTTGGGAAGAAATGCCAGTCCACCGTGCTGGGTGAGCTGCGCTGGGCCAGAGAGAGGAGTAAAAGCCTTAAATATGGGACTTCCCAACCCACAGTCTGCCTGAAGTACTGGGAGGATGGTCAGACAAGGAGTTGACTTCTTTTTTGAGCATAAAACATGCCTATGTCTACAACGACATTTTTAAGGCATTAGAAAGTGATGTTGTGAAATGCTATTGTTTGCCTTTGAGGCAAAGTGCCCCTTCCCATCTTAGTGGAGAATTTTTTATTTTTTTTTTACTACTGACACTTAAGCCTTGTTATTTGTAAATCATGCCCTTCTATTTCCTGTCATGCTCTTTCCTTTACCTGCTAGCCAGATAACCCTCTCCCCTTGCCTGGGTTCCAGCTATAGTGAGTGTCCTCATGCAGGGCACCCATGCCCAGCTCCTGCTCCTCCATTCTTCTGTCCTGCTCAGGGAGATCATGGCTTCAAGACCCTGCTGTACTCATGTAAGAGAAACCTTGGGGAAATCTGTTTTCGCTGAATTTAGAGCAGTATGTGAGCAAAACATCCTTTACAAAGGAGGACACTCTGTGAAAACCTAAGACTTTCTGACTTCTCTATAAGTAAAAACCCTTTTAAGGCACCTTACATATTAAAACTTGTATGGAGCTTGACGGGACAAAGTATATTAGTTCCTCAGCTGGTGCTAGATGTCTGAGCTGCACCAGCATGGAATCATAGAATGATCTTAAGATCATCCAGTTCCAACCCTCTACCACAGGCAGGGACACCTTCCACTAGACCAGGTTGCTCAAGGCCCTATCCAACTTGGTCTTGAACACAAGCAGCCCTTCCTTTCTGAAAGGCTGCCTGGTACCCTTAATTACAAGCAATTGGAGATCATACTACAAAGTTGTTAGAAGCAAACTTTGTAAATGTGCATTGTCATGGAGACAGTATAGATCAGCTGAAGGAGCATATGGTTCTTTACTCCTTCGAGCTATCACTGGAAGGAGTAGACTGAGGAATATATTTAGTGTTTTCTTTTCAACAGATGACTAAAGATAAGAAAATAAAATTAGTTTGAGAAAATCCTCCCCCTTTTCTATGGGAAGTTGGCTGCTCTTCACGCTGTATTAGAAAAATATTACTGAGCTCTCTCTTGTTTTATAGCTGATCGCTGACAGGCATTCTGGAAAGGTCATATCTGAGAGCCTCTCCTCACAAGCATGCAAAGAAAAACATAAGGGTTTTTTTATTTAAAATTATATTAACTTGCTGTTCTTAAATTCAGGGTCTGTGTGTGATTTTTCACAGATAGAAGACAATTCTTCCTTAAAAGCAGACTCTCTTGATCATAACTATGCACTCATGTCCACTTTAAGCCCTCTATATCGCCTCAAGGCCAGTGGAACCCTAACTCCGATGTGCTTGAGCAAGCACTGGCGGAACAAGTAGTTCCCTGCAGCCTTGTGGACTTGCCTCTTCCCTGGCCTGGAAAAGCTCTTGGCTGCTCCTCTGCCCTTCTATCAAGAATGCCAGTTGCTTTAATAGTGGGATTTGTAATGAGATTTAGTAGAGCTATGGTGGAAATAAGGAAGCTCTTTGTCAGACAGGGTTGGAGAGAGATGCAGTAGGCTAAAAAAAGATGGTGAAATTGGTGATGATATCACCGTTTCTCAAGAAAAGCTTTGTTTTAGGGGAAAAAAAGACACATTTGTTCAAGGAACAAACAAAAGCAGCATGCAAAAATATTTGAACAACTTTATGGACCCCATTCACTGGCAGCTGGACCACTGCAGTTCAAATAAGTTGAACAAACGTGAATAATTGATTACATTTCTTTAGCAGACAGTATTTAGACAGGAACAGCATTAGTATAACTCACTCGCTAATTAATAGTTCAGGGAAACAGTAGATTGTTCTATGCTTTTATGATTCCTGTACTCAGAAAGTACAGCCTGAATGCAGTGTCCCAGCTGGAATTACTTGAGGGGAAACACTCCCTTTGCCAGGCTGAACCTCATGTCTCCTCCCACAGTGCAGGTGGAAGAGGAAGATAGGACAGTCTTTCCACCTGATTGTAGTCTGCTCAGGAATAGTTATAATCTTCCCCATAATGTAATAGTTAGCATGGTACCTTATGAATTTCAGGGTTGATGCTGTTGGGTCTCTCTGGAGGCAAGAGCACGGGCAAAGATGAAAAGGACATCAGCTGGTGGGAAGGTATCTCATTGCTCAGGCCCCTTGCTCCCCTGCTGCTGTGGCCAAGGATGGGCTGACTGAAAAGGCTTCAGTACTTGGTTCTTGGGTGACAGAATTGCCTTTTAACTTCTTGCATATTATTTATGTACAGCAGGACAGCAAATTGCCTCCTGAAGGGAGCAGTGTCATTCACGTGGTGGGAGGACACTGTGTGAATGTCTGAGAATCTCATCAGCAGCTGTGTCGGGCAGTGTAAAGAGAAAGGGTGTTGTGTGAATGGGAAAGAGGTTTGGCTGCAGCTTTTCAGCCTTTGAGAGGCTTTGTTTCTTGATGTTTCTGCTGTTTCACTGGCAGGTACGTGACCTGAGGCCCAAGGGAAGTGGACCAGAACAAAGTTGCTCAGACCTGCTTTTTGCTTCCCGCCTTTGGGTCCACAGTCATGAACGAGCTACTTCTCAGGGCAAGATTTTGTTTCTCTCTCTGAGAATGGGTCTGTCAGACTGGGGGAGGGGGGTGGGAGGTGGAGGGAAGACATACACATGCATAAAATTGGCCATGATTGAGCACATGCAGATTTGACTTCACTGATGCTAAATGTTTGGGTGAATTGTGACCACCTTCTGCCTTCTGCTTCAAAATTGTGCCAGTGTTGCACTTGGAAAGGGGGTTTTAACACAAGGCTGTCTATTTCAGTTTAAATTGTGTTGTGAAGTGCTAAACCAGGAACACTAAATGGGACATTCATAAGCCTGCAAAGTTGAGCAACCAAAAGAGGGCAGATGCTTGAATTCACACAGCTGAACAGTTGAAGTGCGGCAAAATTTCCAATGTCTGAAAAGTGGTGTTTTTAATGGGATGTGCTGAACTGCTTCATAATAGGTGGTGGGGGGTGGAATGCTACACACCAAACAAAATGCACATACTATGTGACACACTATAATGACACTTGAAAGTTTTAACCATGTGTACAATTACTGATATTGACTCGGTACCTCAGAGAATGACTTTTTGCTGGTACTTCATCCCATTAGGTTGAATCTTTCACAAGGAGGAAAATCTAGGAGGCACTAGTCAGTCACTGACTCACTATCAGCTGCCTCCTTGCTAAAGCCTGAATGTATTCTATAGTAAGTTATTTGTCACAGTGACTCAGCATTGTAGGCTCCTTTTTAATTTCTCTCTCTCACCACAGAGCCAAGAAAATCTTCCACCTCCCCATGCCGTATGCTACTGAGATAGCAGTTTTGTATCATCGGCCAAAGGATAACACATTGAAATGTGTGTGAGGAGCCTTATAAGGGCATTAACACTTGCCTCCAGGTTGGACGTCATGACGGCGAGCCAAGGAGAGGTGCCAATAATAGATTCCTTGTGTTTGTACATGCCGCAGTGACTATTTGTGCCGCTCGTGGGAAACGGAGTGATATGCCAGACGGCAAAGTGTTTCATTTATCCAGAGTCACGGGGGTTGATCCTGAGTGAGTCTTCACTTAGACATGCAGCCCCGTTCCTGGAAAGGTCAGTGTGCAGATCGTGCCAGCCCGGGGGCTGGCTGCAGGAGGGGAACTGGGGATCAACCCCGTACCCTCTGCCTTCCCTAGGTAGCTGCCCTTTAGCCCAGAGAAATCAAGATTAAACGATAGTAACTCTGAGCTGCAGCAGTACACATGCCTTGACTTGCATATCTGTACCTGGTTTCCCCTGGGTAAAAGGGGGCTGATGAGATGTGCCGTACTGCCCTGTGTTCTCTACATGAACGTGCTGGTCCTGTTAATTGCAGGTGTTCCCCATCTGGTGCGTCAAATGGCTGGGCAAAAAGCTATCAATCAAGCCCAAATTCCTGTTCTGATTACATTATTCTGTACACCACCACTTAACCCATAGGGAACGCAGGAGGACAGTTGCATAATGTGAAAAATGGCTGGTGGTGCCCGCCTTGTCGAAGGAACAGAAGAAAGTGGAATAACACTGATGTTTCTCTCTGCCACCTGATGAGCCAAATACTTCCTCATGGCATCATCTCATGTTTACCCAAATAATGACTTGCTTTATCCCACAGGCCCCATTGGCCACAGGTGTAACCTCTTGAGAATTCGTAATTCAGGCAAAGAAGCCACATGCTTTTGTACTGACTAATAAACACTATTTATTTTGCTAGGAATTGGTCGGTGTTTAACGAGTGTGAGCAGTGTGGGAACCAGATCAAGTAACCAGGAGCTGCAGGGTAAAAAGGTGGGATTTATCTGCAGAGTTCTCCAAAGATTCTGAATGGGGAGTGTGTTGCATAGATCAGTGTTTTATTTTAGTCTAAATAATATAAAGTCTAAATAACAAACAATATTTAGCCTAATATTATAAATTATAATATAAAGTGCTCAAAGCAGAATCCAAGGATGCTTGAGTGAGATTTGAATCAAGTCCATCTGCCTTCTTGGTGTAAGAGCGTAGCTTTCAATTAAAAATTAATGCTGCTGAGATCCAAACAAAAGCAGACAAAAAACATTTCCACTTTGCACCCTACATGATGGGTGACAGTCTAAAGAAAAAAAAAAAAAAGATAAAAAAGATTAATTAGGTTAAAATAGTATTTAAATGCCTACAAATGGAAGCCTGAACAACACTGACCTCTTTTCCTTTATGAAATCAATTATTCTCACAGGCAGGGACAAGCTGTACTCCCATGACTGGGTGACCCCACCATAAGAAGCAGCATCTTCCCTCCTGACAGGTTTGCTGCTGGGTAGGGAAAGCCCTGCACAACAGGAGTTTGGGAGCCCTGAACACACAGATGCATTTGTTAGTACAAATGAGAGTGCCACACACCACAAGCCAGGCACCGGCTGCTGTTTCCTGGCCAAGAGTTTTGCACAAACAAAATGATTGTGACTTGTGCTCATGGTTTGGGCTCCTGCACTGGCCAAGGGGGTGGGTGGATGGCTGTGTTCCTCTCCCTGATGGATGGCAGGGCTTCAGCTGCTGGAATTTTAAGGACCTCTTTGTATGCTGGCAACTACAGACAGAGCTCTTGTGAATGACGTCATCCATCACAAAACCTCCCCAGTCACCTTTGTATCAGGATGTAGTTAGTGACCAGACAGCTCAATTGAGTTTTACATAGGCTTTTTTCCCCCTCTCTCTCCTTCCACCTCCTCCTTTCTCGTTACTTGAGCATTTATTTCTGAAGATTTTGCTGTGGGTGCAAAAGTCAAGCGTAATGTTCTAGGGATTAAAATCTGATGTTTACTTAACATTAACTGGGAAGGGAGGTGAGCTGGAGGCTGTCAGAAGAGCCTTGTGGTCTGTCCGTTCCCCAGCCCTGTCAGAGGGGTACAGGTTATAAGCACCAGGAAAAAATTTCCAAGGCTGGGAGAAGAGTAAATAACCTGTCAACCTGGAAAATCCAGGCTGCCTGTGCTCACCTGAATGGCAGTATGTGTGTGTATATATAACAATAGATGCCTATGTGTGGCTACTGCATTTTTTCCATTGTATGTGCAACGCTTTCTTGGTGCCTGCCCGTGACGCTGCATATCGCAAGCGTCTGGCTATGCTGTACCACGTGTGAGGCTGAGAAGTGAAGCAAAACATCTGAGGCATGTTACTGAAATGCTAACCAAAACCGAAAAAAATGTCTGGCTCTCAGGTCATTAAAATGTTAGAAATACTCCTATGGCAGGTCTTGGAAGCTATTGTTTTCCAAAGCTGCGTATTCATCCCCGTCTGCAGAGTGGGAAATACGCAAACTTCAGAGTTTCTCTAGTATTGCTAAGCTGATAGATGGTTTGGAACATCACAGCCCACAGCACCATCAGCTTCATTGTGTCTTTGCAAAACTCTCCTCAAACCACCAAGTCACCAGACAAGACCTTGACAATCTCTCTCCTTTTTTTTTTCTTCCTCTTTCAAATGCTCCATCATCTTATTCCAGGAATCACTGTTGTTACAAAGAGTCTTCTGTGATCAAAAATCCCAGCTGAGGTGACATTTTCTGACTTGTCCATTTTTTCCTGATCTTTCAGCTGGAAGCATATAGAGTTTAGGCACTAGCTGCGTAAACAATCGTCATGCACATACAGAGGCAGCACCACAGGAAATACTTTTCCAAAGAAAATGATAGAATGATGTTTCACATTACTGTAGAAGCTTCAAAGATACTCTTGGCTTGTTGTTTTTACTTTCTCCTGATTTCTATGCACTTGTTTGATACTGTTCTGTTGTATATATAAGTCTCAAAGTATTTTTATGTTCTTCTCTGATAATTGATGATAGCCAGAGCAATGACTTGGAAGATCGTTCTTGTCTCCCCCATTATAAATGGGGGAAAAGAAAAGCATCCCTGGGACAACATCCTCAGAAGCAGCCCTCGGTCTTACTTATATAGTAGGTACAAGGGACCCATTGCAGAAGGGAAAGTAGAGGTAGGAAAATGTTATGTCAACACCTTCAGTTTCAGGTAATGATGTTTCCATACAGAAACTTCAGTGGTGGTTCTGACTACTGATGCTGCCTCTCCAAAAGAGTAGAGCTGAAGGAAAATTGCAGTATTTCCTAATAAAATGATGAAAGTGTGCCATGAGGATGCAATAACATCTCCAGGGGTTTCTCAGTCCCTCAGAAGTCTTTTTTCTCCCCAACTCCCTAAATACTACTTTTCTGATCACCCCTGAAAACAAATGGAGACAGGTAGCAAAGTGTTATTACAAACAATCTTAAAGCTCTGAACAGGCTGCCCTTACTCAGGAGGAGGTAGGCTTGTTGCTTGATCTACCACCAGTTAATGATAGCTCAAGTGGGATGTGGCAGGCTCCAGCATTTCTGGGAGCAGTGAACCTCCTCTTCCCAAGCCTTCTTCAGAGATAAGAACTCAGGAACCATGGAAGCGTAATGGGCTTCAAGTAGGATTTCACATCTCTAAACAAAAATATCTTGGTATTGCTTCTGCAGTGCTAGGTGACCATTATCCTGTGCCAGCACTCAACTCCAAGGATAGTATCTCTAAATTAAATGTGTTGACTCTATAGTTTGCAATGACAAAATGGGCATTGGCTTCTGAATGCAACCTTGCATTTGACTTTGCTTTCTGCAGTGAATTACAGGATGTTCAGTGGGACAGCAAGTATTTGGTTTTTACAGCTACTGAAACTGAAAACAGACAAATCAACCAGCCCTAAACTACCCTGATGGGATATTGTAATGGCCACTCATAGGCCATCAAAGGGCAGCCATGTGGTTCAGCCCTTGCAGCAGGTATGGGCTGACACATTGTGATAAATTGAGTGCTTGCAGGCTGGAAGGACAGCTCTTGGTGATTCAAACAAAGCTGGAAAAGGCACGACTCCCATGGAAATTTCTTTGTAGCTAGAAGGCAGTTATCACCTTACTGAAGCAGCTCAGTCTGGGAGAGGGCTCTGCATAAGAGTCCCTGTTCTACAGAGCAGCAGCTGCTGCAGGGCAGGTCTCTGTCCCTCATCTAAAGTAAAGAGCACTTCATGATTCACGGAGGGGGTTGTGTGAGAAAGCATTTAGTATGTCCCTTCTTTAGTAGGTTCCCTTTGTTTCTGGGTGTAAGCAGGCTACAGCTGCTGCCTGTACTAGCACTTTGCACTTCCACGTTTCCACCTGGCTGAAAGCTTTGCATCCCTTTTTGTGAATAAACACTCCAAAATAGGCAGCTTTTCCATTTCAGATATGGAGAAACCAAGTTGCACAGATAAGGAAACTATTCACCTGCATATGCGAGTGTTGTAAGGGGATGATGGTGCCCAGGTCTCTTAATTTATTGCCTTATGCTTCCGCCGCAAATTCTGAAGGGAAGCTTTCATTTTTCCATGACCTGTAGGGATTGCTGCTTTCAGACAGGACCCAGCTGTTTGTGGTAGAGAAGTGCAGCTATGGAGGGAGCATCTGTCCGTTACGTAAAACATGATGCGGACACCGAACTGTTCATCTAAAATAGCAGAGTGGGTGAGAAAAGGGCTCTGTGGAAGTGGAGCAAGTGAAAGGCAGCAGCCACACAGGGATACAACAGGGCTGAGGGATGCTCTACAGCTAATTGCTGCTTACAAGGTTCTAGCACTAAACTGTGTCATTTCATGTCTGTGATAAAATGGGCAGCCCAGCACACAGAAAGGCAAGATTACCTTAACTAGAAATGAGCCTGCAGATGGATCCCTATGCCGTTGAAAAGCTTTCATTTCAGATTGATTTTTCTGTGGGTGAAGCAGGGTTGCTCTCTCGCATGGCAGTTTTGCTCTTGGGGGTGGTTGGTTGCTCAACCCTTCACCATTAATACTGTCACTTTCTAATAAAGGCATTGATTTGTAGACTTGGGATGGAATACCTGGGGCAGCTGTCACTCTGCCCCAAAGTCATAAATCCTCATGGTCTTCCTCATCTGTCCTCTGTGATTAAAGCAAGGGCTCCTTGGCACAATGAATCACTAAGACTCATAGCTATTTACTTGCTGTGTTACTGCCGCAGACCACTCTGTGTGTTGTCCAGGCACTGTTTGCCTGACATAAACAATAGATAAGATGTCAAACGTGCAGAATTGCTCTGGAAGGAAACAGCAATGATCCCCAGAGCTCCAGGATTCTTATTTCCCTTTAAGCTTGGAAATTAAATGTGGGGATTCTCTAAAACTAATACAAACCCTGGGGTGGTTGGCAGTTTCCTTTGTCTGTGCATATAAAACATATTTTGGTGTAGCAGGGAGAGAGATGCCATTAATACCTAATCCCAAGCATGCAAATTACTACTGGATTTTGTGTAAGCAATTTAGATCCCCTTGGGTTTTTTCCACAGTGTTCTTTTCTGTTTATCAATTTCTTCCCTGTATCTCCTGGTTTACCTGCGTCTTCATTCATCATTCATTTACAAAGCCATTCAGAGCATCAGAAACCAATTTCCTCCCTGAACCTGGTCCTGTTACAAATCAAGGCTACCCCATGTGCAAGCGATGTTGTGAAGATGTGTGTTGTTTTGGACAGAGGGATGTGTAGCAGAAGGTAACTTAAGACTAAAAAGAAGCCAAACTGTGTTTTGTGAACTAAGTGTTGTCTTCATCTCAGTGTCCCTCTGCAACATAAAAATAGATGATTTTCTGATACATTCAGAAAGCTAAAGTTTAACTTGCACTTTTGTTCTATTCTCACTTCTGAATCCTTGATTCCTTTCTCCAATCAGACAGCTTAATTAGCCCAAGCCCACCCAACAAGTAGCTGGCTAGCAGCTACCCATCCCGCGCGTGCTGCTCTGCCTCTGAATCACTGCCTTGACTGAGATCCAAGGGCTCCGCTTTACTCTTCCTCCGGGGTGTGCGTGTATGAGCGTGCAAGCATACTGCAGGCACCCCGCATTTCATCCCTATCTGCAGATAGCACATGTAAATCACCAGGGCTGTTACACAACCACTACCTTACATCTATCGGTACAAATTTGCTGGTCTGTTCACTCCTGTGAGTGTTTGCTCCTGTGCTTCTGCCCGGCAAAGCCCCACAGCTGCCCTGCGGACAGAGGACTGCATCCTCCCACCATCTGCGGGAGGTAAGGAGCTCATGTGGCTCTTCATGTCTTCCCAGCGGCAGGATCGCTTGGCCAGGAGAGCATTGGGAATTGTGAAGTAGGTTGGGTTTATAGTTTTCCCAGGGTGTCCAGGCTCACATTGCATGCTCCTACCTATCTCTCCGATACCTGTGTCCTCTGTAGACCATGAGCGTGTGGAAGGTGAAGGTGAGGGAGTCTGAGATTTGCATAGATACAATGGCTTTTACACCCTGCTCTGCTCTAAGTTTACTGGGAGAAGCATTTTAACTTTTTAATACTCGGCCATTGAACCACGCAAGAGTGGTAAAATAGGAATGCCTTTGCCAATCTAGCCATTAATTTTGTGTGGGAAATAATGATTATGTATTAAAACTATTTCTGTCTTCACTATTTCAGCGTTGCTTTGCTTTTCATAAGACAGAGGGAAATACTGCCCACACATTTCAGATCCTGTTCTCTCTGTCTCACTCCTGTAAACTGAGAGCCATGCACAAGAAAGGGTCATTTCTGTAGGACAGCATGGCAGACATGAAGTCCTCCTGACTTTTTCACCCTATCCCATACAAATAATCTTCACAGCCATGTTCTCACCATAGCATCCCTGCTGGCAATTCTTCTCCAGTGTACCTTCAGGGAAAAGGCTTCAGACAGCTCATTCCAGCTTTACAAAGCACCAAGAGCTGAGGAAGACCATTTTTTGTACCATTGCCCTCACTTGTTTTCTAATTTCTATTTCTTTATTCTCTAAATTGCCATATGACCATTCTGGCTAATAGTCAGTCTTTATGTGCTTGCAAATGCATACAGGTGCATGTAAATACGTTATTCATATATACACATATGTGTATGGAAAGATTGGGAAGCAGCAGGCCAATATGATGCCCAGCTTTTCACTCTGGGACACAACACTCCTGCTTTACATAACCACATTTCTCAGATTAATAAAAGCCTTTCCACTTGCCAGAGCATTTCTGCTATCTCTGTAGATGTTAGCCCACCCTCTTCTCTGCACAGCATCCCAGGCACTGTGGGGGATGTGCAGTGGTGAAGGGTGGTCGTGCCCTGCCTGCCCCCTCTCCTATTGGACTTGCCAAAGCATGGTGTGCTACCACCAGCCGTGTGTTTGTAAGGTAAACTTGGAAAGTCTTGCCTGAAACCCAGCCTTGACTGATTTGAAGGAGAAACAGGTTTCAAGGGCTGAGATCCAAATGATAGGCTCTGATTTTAATCTTTTCCTAAGAATTTTTGTCTGCACTGCAGGCAATACCTGGAAATGCCTCCTTTTGCCTGCAGTCCAGATGCACCTGAGATACTTAGTTCTCGTGCTCTTGTGGCACCAGCGCTTTCCCACCTGCTGCTGTACTGGCCTAGCATGGGATTTCCCACTGAGGACTTCTTGCTATAGTCTCTCCCAGGCCCCATCACTGCGCTCGCTATTGCTGAATCCCAGCACCTCGTCACCTCTTAGCAATTCATGCCTTCCAGCCAGAAACCTGTAGAGCGGGTGCTGTCTGCATCTAATCCCTCCCTGCTCCATGTGCTCCAACTCTACTTTATGTCCTCTGGACAGGCTTTTAAGGAGAGCCTGCATGCTCCTGACTGCTCCTCTGGCTGGCCCAGGAAGAGCCAGTTCCTACCTCCCTTCATAAAACACAGCACTGCCTCCCAGGGCTTAGCATACACCCTGACATCAGGGCACAACTATTTCAGGTGCTTCTTGCTTTTTGTGGTGTTTGTACGTAGCTGCACTGGGAAGAACAACTTGAGATATAAAGTATATAAAATGGTGCATATAAAAATGGAGAGTGTTGACAACAGAGGGTAGCATGTTGCACTTATTTACTTCATGTGACTATGAACATAGGTCTCTCCATACTGCTGGATTTCAGAGCCAGTGGTTTATTCATCCATGCTTTTTGGCTATTTGTATTAGTAAGTGTAAATGACAGAGAATAAGCTCCATTAATGAGTTTACACAACAAAAAGCCTTTATCATAATAAGGAATTAGGTGGGGGGGGGAAAGGGTTTTAATTAGCTTCATTTAGTTATCAATATAGACAAGTAATCATTGGAGTGATTTAAACAATTTTTGTTTGGTTTTCATCTTTACTGTTTCTCTAAGAAGCCTGAGGCACATAAGAGAGATCCTGCTGTCGCGCAAGGTGGCTCAGCATCACAAAGCAATGGACCTATGTCATTTGAAGCAGCTAAGAATCTGCTTGCATTTTTCAAATGGCATTCAAGGCTTTTTAGGTAGCATAATGTTGTTAATTAACTGTATGACTTTTGTTTGAATCATTTTATCTTACTATTTTTTTGCTTGTGTTGCTCTGCTCTCTGAGAACACTCTTTAGGCCAATACCCAAAAAGATATTCTTTTGAGAGAGGCTTAGTGGTACAGGAAGGTGACACGTTAAGATACAGTGATTTATATGTTGTTGATTAAGTTTAAATAATTGAGAAGTATTGGGATTCTATTACTTTCTTCTTACCTACTCAGACATGATTAATCATTTGTTTTTCATCCTATGGTTTTCCTTCTAGATTTTACTCCCAGATTTTTTCCTTCAGAGTACTGCCATGTACTTTAGATATAGTGGGGATTACTCCTGAGCAAGGAATGTCGAAAGATTTGTGAGGAACCCAAGAAAAAGATAAATGTGAGATTATGAGAGACA